ATATATTAAGAGATTTATTTTATATATATAAATATAAATAAAATTTTTAAATTTTAAAAAAATTTTATAATTACTAATGTTTTTATATATAAGTATTATTAATTTTACTATAAAAAATTATTAATTTTTTATATGATAAACTAATTTAAAGTTGTATGAAGTATTGATGATATTGAAAGAACAGAACAAAAATGATGCTTTCTGATAAAGATACAATAACATGATGAAGAAATAATTAAAAATATCTTAGATAAATATATTGAAAAATGATCTATTATTTATATAGATTGTTGGAAAGGTTATCTGAATATTGATAAACTAGGATTCAAATATAAAACAGTTAACTATTCAGAAAATTTTGTAGATTCCAAAAAAGGTATATATATGAATAATATAGAAGGATTGTAAAATGATATCAAGTTACAGATTGTCTTATAAAATTGAAATAAAGACTTGATTAAATCATATTTATTTGAATTTATTTGATATAAAGTAAACAAAAACAGACTCTAAGATGTATTTATCAAAACACTACATTCTACAGCATATTACCAATCTGATGATATTACTTTGTGACAACTGCATGCATTAGTATATGCTAAACTATAATTTAGCTACTAATTGTATACTCTTCTGTAGTGGTTTACTAAATCACATTACCAAAAAAGTCAGTAATAAAAATCAAAAGACCAAAGAGATCATCTTAATACCAAAAAAAAAGAAGTTGTTTAATGCATAATTTTACATATAATAATCAGTTCAAAATTAAAAAATAATTATTTTTAAAGAAGTTACTTCTTCAAAATAAACAAAATTAAACAAATTTTAACTTAGTTTTTAAGCTAAATTTCTTCTTTTTTTGTTTTATATACTGTAATCACAAAATTTAATTTTAAGTTATTTAGTTAAATTGAAAAAGATCTTTAACTTAGTTTATAATAAATTTATATGTTTTTACTATAATTTTTATTATAAACAGCATTCTAAAAGAAATGTTCTTTGTAGATAGAAGCATGACCTCACCATTAATATTAAAAAAAAATCCTTTGTCTGATAATACTAGATAAAACAATTAAAAGATCACTAGTGAAACAACCGAACCACCTAAAATATAATTGACTCTTAGTAAGATTGTTAAAAATCCGGTCCAGTCCTGGTTAAGTCTTTAAAAAGTCTGGTCTCGAACTAGTTAAGAACTGGTTTTATACCCCTGTCTGAAATCGGTCTAATCCTAACGGTTTAATGTATCGGTATAGGACATTAGTAAACGAGTATTGTGGTTTAATTATAATATAAAAGAGCGAAATCCGATAACTTTCTTGATGCAGATCCATACTTAATTAGGGTTTTTAGATATGATTTTGTCAATAATATATATAATGTATTGAATTCATTCCAACCAGTTAGAAGACCTTGAGATCACAAAATTATAGAACTGTCTTTAAAAGGTCCAGCCCCTGACCCGGTCCGAACAACTCTAAGGTCCAGTCTAATGGATTAAACGATAATCTAATGGGTTTTAAAGAGCGTCTAATGGGTTTGGCGCATATTCATTAAATCCTTCTTGCAGGATAGTGCAGAATTAACCTCAATAAATCGACAATCACAATTATAATACCCTAAACATTCGTCGGACCAATAAAAAAAAACAAATCAAATAAAGGGTTTAGATTAGATTTAGTGACTCCGTGTACTACAGTATTATCATGAGATAGACCCATGAAAAAATCTTATAAAGCGAAATATTTGAAGATCTGGTGCTCATTCACTCATCTAAATATATGTATGTACGTACGTACGTTGCGTATTTTAAAATACAAACTCAACCATGTCTACATTGCCTTTCAAGCTAGAAAGGACCTAATGTTAATTCTCCAAAAACCTGTTGGTTGCAAAATTTTTTTGCATAGGACTTTGTGCATGTTTGAGAAACTTGTTATCAAAAAATTTTATGATAAATGCTAAGGTTAGTGGTAAGACTAAAACTATAGTAAAACAAAACCAAAAAAGATACGTTTCTTCAAATTTCATTAAGAATCAATTTTGCTAGTACTAAGAAGACATTTTACGAGTGAAATTTAAAGTATTGTTTTTAAACTTTTATATCATATATCATTACTGTTATATACTAATCTTTCGATCAGATTTGGTGCTACAGACAAGTGACTCGAGTTTTTTTAGTAATAAAAAAAACCTAATGTCGAGGCGCATGGGACTCGAACCCACAATCCCCAGATCCGGAATCTGAAGCCTTATCCATTAGGCCAACGCCCCCAAGAACATGATAAGTGTCTTTACAATTTTTTTATTTTTAAACTAATTATATCTTAGGTGAGTAATTAACCTCAATTATATCCTAGATGAACAATTAACTATACATATCCTAGATGAACAATTAACTTTAATTCTCAGATTCAGATTCGCATTAGAAACTTTTAACAAACTTTTTAATAAAAGCACGTAAAAACAAGAAAATGCAAATATTAAGATCATTCTGCAATCTAGTAATGGTGATTGATTGATCTATAGCATATTCGATAGTTCGATTGATCGAATCACGGTCAATTAAAAAAAGGGTGAATGATATAAATATTTTATTCTGAAACAATTATTCATTGGAAAATCTAAAACTGCATCTGCGCTTTCAAAAGGTTTAACTACATAAAAAAAAGATGTAATAATTGTGCAAAGAGCATAGTAAAAAATAAGCTATAATATCTAATTAAAAAAAGGAAAATCATTACGCAAAATGTAATAATTGTACGGTTACAGTCAAAGCTCGATATAGAAGTCCACATTCTGATCTAATGTCTTTGTTATATAGAAATATTCAGTTATCGAAAGACAAATTTTTATGTTCAAATGCATTTATAATTCACGCTATTTCAAAAATATTTGCTATATAAAAATTCGTTGTCTCGAGCTTTAATAGTAGTAAAAAAAAAAAAAAAATTACTAAGAAAAATATAGTACGTAATAAAGTTTATTATGAAAATTTTGTAACCTTGCAAGAATGACATCAATAATACGGAATTAACATGGAAAATCATAGACAATATTATTATTGTAAGTTACAAAAATTATTAAAATTATTTGATGAATATTCATTTTATTCGCGTTGATTAGTCTGAACATAAGTTATTTGCATTTAAATTTATGAGCCGCACGAATAACGTGTAGCAAATATAATACGAGTGATCAAAAACTTCAAGTGAATGATTATTACCTAATTGGTCATCTCTATTGCAATCGAGCAGCTTTAAACTTAGAGACTTTCTTGGGTCTCTCACTTGATTGTGGTAATTGACTTTCATCCTGTGAATTAAAATACACAAGATCAGTAAAGTAATAGAATTATTGATATTCTGCAATTAACTTACTGAAGAGAGACCTCCTTGTTGAGCGATAAAATTAACTCGTTTTTGATGATATTCTGACGCGATCTAAAACATGCCTTCATTACGTAAACTGAACATTTAAATACGAAATCAAAATACATAATGAAGTTGAAACTCTGACCTGTTTTTTCCATATCTCATCTTCTAAAACTTCAGCATCATATTCCTCCTGCGAAGTCACATTTTCTATGACTGTAGATTTTACTGGAATATTTGGTTGCTCAATCTGTTTCGCTTTCGTAGGCACGTGTGTAGATACACCGGTTTCCTCCCATTCTTCTTCATCGTCTTCGTCATTACTCTCGGACTCGCTTTTCTCACTTGATTCTGATGCATCTTCATCGTCTTCGTCATGACATGGAGAATCATCAGAATCCGATGAGCAAAGCGAGTCCGAAACTCTTAATTCATCTTCTTCTTCAGCAAGTAATTTATCCCAAAGACTAGTATCATCGGATTTGGCTATATATATATTTGTAAATTGCATCGGCATTATCAAAAATATTGTTAATTAATAAGTATTATATAATGGCAGCGTATAAAACCACCTTGTGATTGATCAATTTGTTTCAGACTTGGTTTTAAATCATCTTTTTTGTCTTTTGTTATTCGACTTTGCACTTCATTCTCTTCAGTTTCTTGTATCTCTATAATAGGTAATCCTTCTTCATTTATCTAAGTCATTTAGAATGGACGCGTATAAGTTATATTATTCTTTAAAAAATTGGTTTTAATAAAATACCTCTTTTTCTATGTTTGCAAATCTTAATACATCAGACGTTAAACCGATCTTCGTTTTTTGGTTTTCAAGTTGAATTTCCAGATCATTTATGGTTTTCCTCACCACTGAATTCGAAATATAAACTAATTATTATAGATTGCTAACTACAGAGTACTCACAAATATCTATCTACTGTTGCAAAAACATGTGCTGCACATATTTATGGTGAATGGTCGCTATTTTATATTGCACTAAACATTTTCTCAAAAAAAAAGAAAAAAAAGCATACTTTCCAGTCTTCTATCGACTATATCAACAGCTTGTTTAGTCGAACGTTCAGCAAACCAATTATCACCGAGCATTGCCAAGATTTCGTTCGTGTGAACAAGCTTTCCGGGCATAAATGCAAGTTTGCCAATCGGTACCTGAACAAAGGAAAAAAACAAAAAAATAAAGAATAAATAAATAGTTCGGAGAAAGATTAAAAAAAAACCTTCTCACCATGATTCTATATTCTGTCTCATGAGATAAATCTTCCAAAGTTGTCTTCAAGGCATTGTAATCGCTTTCATACTTTCTCCATGATTTTAAAGTTTCGTAGGTAGTGAAAATAACTCGCTCGAGTTTCGCGTGATATAATTTTTTTGCATCTGGAGATAACGCTTCTGACATTTTTATAGTATTAGGCGGTTAACGTTATCGTTTTTATGATAAATAATTTTAGATCATGATAGATCATGTGCAAGAGATTCTACTCGAACAGTCACATTCTGATTGGACGAATTAAATCAAACTTTGAGAAAAGATATCTCATGACAATATATATGGGGTTGAGTCAATAGAAATCAAGCCAATTTTTTCCAAGTAAATTTTTTTGAAACTTTAAACAAAGATAACTTAATCAAAACTTTATCAAATTTATTAAAATAAATGCTACAAGTTTGTAGAATTCATTTTTAAAAAAATTATTAAGTTTAACTAAGTTTTTGTTGAGTGATTGTTGTTTAAAATTTCAAAAAAATTTCAATAAAAACAATTTGCTTGATTTCAATTACTATTTAACTAATTACCGATCCTAGGCAATCCAGATTATATCAAATCCGGTTTGAACCGTATCAGATTATAAATAAAGCACATCCTTAGGTTCGTTATTTAAGTTCTTTGATCAATCCGAGTAAAAATCTGATCTGGATATCTGAATTTATCGTAATTTAAAGATGAACGGATTTAGGATCGGAACACTATTTATGATATAAAAAAAAAAAGATTATTCTTTTTGAAATAAAGGCATTTTATGTTTATTTATATTCAGAGAGGGGAATCACGATCAGCAAGGTCGGAATTAACTAATTTTCCCAAGGTCACTAAAAGTTTTACTAATGAAGTCATGGCCCACTCATTAAGTAAAGCTACCCAGCTGATAATTTTGGCCCAGAAATGGTTGACTTGTATTGCTAAATGCTGGCCTAAATCCTGTAAAAAAAGTCTAATACATAGTATATTCAATTATAGAATTATATGTAACATTCATCTATCAAAAATTATTGTTTTTGATCATTTCGTTCCCTACAATGGATAAGCACTAAAATTAAGACCTTGACTTTGACATTACCTTTTTTTTTTTATTTTTCACCATCCAATAATTTCCCAATCTTAAGAGTTTTATGTTTTTATTGTTAAACCCGATTAAACTGGTTTTAACATATGAAAAATGAAACCGGTTTCAAACACTAATTCACAGTGATATTACATATAATATTGACCAATCATATCATAATATTTAGCAATTATTAATAAACGGCCAATGAAATTACGAGGATCAAAAATGCAAATAAATTCGATATGTAACTTCCCGTGTTAAATTCATGGCTTTATTCAAAATGTCGAAATTATCCCTACAAAATGCTATTTTAACCTATGAACAATTAGAATCTACTCCTTCAAAACTTGATGAAATTCCAGAAGATCTCGAAGATAATTTGCGAAGACTTGGCTGTGAAATGATTCAGTCAGCAGGAATTCTTTTACGACTGTAAATATTATTTTAGATTATATTTGTTTATATTTATATACATCAAAAAAAAAACTCACAAAATAATTAATAGGCCGCAGGTAGCAATGGCAACTGCAAAAGTACTTTTCCAACGATTTTTTTATGTGGCTTCATTGAGGAAATTTTCTATCAGAGTTCGTATTAATTTATATCGTATCTGTTATATTATTTGCCATATAAATTAAATGTTATTAATGATTATAATAATTTAGGATATAGGGATGGGATCTCTATTCCTTGCTTCCAAAGTACAAGAATCACCTTGTAAAATACGCGATTTGATAAACGTTTATCATTATTTGATACGGCGTTATCGTAATTTACCCCCGGAACCTCTAGAATATTTTGGCTCGGTGAATTGGATATTCATTTTTGTTTAATTGTCTTTTTATGATATTCATGTCTTTATTTGAGCCATTCTTATAAATTCTAGCCAAAATAACATATTTTAGGATGTATATGAAATGAAAGAAGCATTAACTGTTGCAGAGATGCAAATACTTAAAAAATTAGGATTTAATGTTCATGTACAATTACCATATGGATTAATGGTAAATTATTTGAAAGTATTGGAACTTACAGAACATGAAACTATTCCACAAAAAGCTTGGGGATATTTAAATGACGCGCATGTATAAACATTTTAGCAAAATTCATAATCTTATCATTTATAAAATTGTTAAATATATTCCTGAATATTTTTTTTTAATTATAGATTACGAACAAACGTTTACGTATGTTATCAACCAGCGACCATTGCATGCGCAGTGATTTGGTTAGCTGCACGAGTGGCTCAAGTTAAATTACCCACATCACCTGCATGGTGGGAATTATTTGATTCAGAACTCGAAGATATCCTTTAATTATTTATTTATAATTAATTAATTGTTTTATTATTTAAATCATTCGCAATTTTTCTTTAACATATGTATACATATGGAGAATATTGCGCGTCATATTATGCGATTATATGATCACAAATTGCCATCTGGACTACCATTTACACTTGATGAGTTGGAGATTTACTTAAAAGGACCCTCAACGCAGACCTAAACCTAGACCTAGACCATTTAGAATATGATTTGCTAATTATTATAAAAGTAAGTCCTTATAAACATAAATCATTAAAGTTAAACAAATATATAAACTGATCTATACCCATAATTAAATTGATACAAATAAAAAAATAATTGAAAGATATTTTTAAAAAAATAATTTTAAATTTGAATATATTAATTGGCTAAATTGATATAAATAAAATATTTTAAATATTGCTTTACGTAAAAGGTTTATACTTTGTGCATACTTCTATCAATAATTATAATAGAACATGAGTTACCAGCTAGTAAAATTCGCTATGTAAGTTAAGGGTTAGGATGAAACCTATGTTTTTTATTATACAAAAGCGAATTTCAACCCTCATGTGATCTACATAGCAGATTTCACTCTACATGGCGAATTTTACTAGCTGGTTTCACCCTGTCGTATTATGTGTCAAAAATTTGTGAATACAATAATTTGCTCTATCAGCTATATATACGTATAACTAGATAATATTACCCTGGACAAGTTAATAATAGTCTAATTATTAATAATCTTAAAATAAAATATAATTTTTAAGTATTATATTAATGTATTGTGAAAATTCCAACTTATATCTAGATATAAATTAAACTTGCAAGACTAGTAATATTTTAATAAATAAATATTTCTTAAAGATTAGTTTAAAATATTTCTTTTAAATTACACCCTTCGTTTTATATTATACTGAGTATTAAATGCAATTTTCTATAGTAATTTTTAGAAAAGTTATAAGAACCAGGACAAACCAGACCAGACCGAGAAATTCCTAATATTAGGCCCTTCTGAAAATCGACTAATCCAATATCGATGATATGTATGTACATGCATATTAACTTTAGTCTACTGGTCTAGTTTAAATTATAATCAGCTTAGTACGTACGTACAAATAACCGGTGGTGGTCATCACCGCCTCTATTTTTATGATTATGGTGGGGTCAGATATAAAAGTCCAAAATTTAGTTAAAGTTAGGTTTTTCTCATCTAGTAGGTAAATTTTTGTGATATCAATACGTATTATACCTCGGCGATGATCACCACCGGTTATGGTTACGTAGCAAGGTTCGATGCACATTATTATTAAAATAAATAAATTCAATTTGATTTATTTGGTTGGTTTGATGGATAAGCTCATGATTTTAATTAAAACAACTGAGAACAATAAATTTCAGAAATCCTCATTATATATATTTTAGTTTTCAGCATACACAAGAAATTCCATAACGCCAGTGTAGTGAGCGGCAAAGGCTTGACCATCTCCAGTTGGTTGCGAAAATGCCAAATCACTTGGTTTAAGAATACATCCATACATAAATTTTTCCCTATAATATTGGATAAAAAATATCTTGGATAAATATTCAAATTTATAAAGTTAAAAAAAATCATTTAACGTACCTAACAACGTTTAAAAGTTTTGTCGCAATGCCTTTCCTCCTATGTGGCCTGGATACCCATATTCGGTTTATTCCACATACTGCTTGAATTGGTTTTGTACTAATCATAAAACCAAATTTGATATGAATAATTTACCATATGATTTCAAATTTTAATTTCACTATAAAATACTAACAAGCAAAAAACTGCAGATCCATTATTGGAAGTTCCGACTTGCATTTTTTCAACTTGTGTACTGTCATCACTACGTGAAATTCTGTAAGCTCTCGTAATTGGTTCAGCTATTACACACCCTTCAACTTTTTTCTTGTCTGTAACGTATAAATAAATCTTGCATTGATCTAACTTCTGCTCACTTAACTCTATAGAGTTCAATTCAGTATCAATTACGTTAAGAATTTGAAGAATCTAATTTAAAAAAATGAAATTATCACATGATTTAGTTTTATCAATAATATTTCGATATGGATCTTTATTAAGAAAATTAAGTCACGGGATAAGTAAATCATATGTCCTGTGACTTAGTTTTCCTAGTAAAAGATCCATACAATAACGATAACATTTGAGTGACGCCAAAGGAAAATCAGAATTCAGGTTTTCAAGTTAATTATCCCTGCCAGTTACACATAATGACACGTAATGAAATTTACTTAAGTATCATAACATGTTTATGATTAGGACTAGAGTCTAGTAAACAACAAATAATAAACTTGAAAGCCTGACCCTTGGCGTTACCCATTTATATTTTTATAAGGTGAACCTTTCGTTTTTCAAATGGATTTGATTGGTCATATATGAGCATCATTACGCGACTATTGTCGTCTGGAAACTGTTTTAACATAATTTCATGCTTATAACTCTGTAAAATTTATATCATTATTATTATTGATATTAAAAAAATATATATGAACAGTAAATTTTTTGTAAATTGAAACTTTACCGTATAAGTGATTCCTCTGACAACTGCCTTATGGTACTTTGCATGCACTACTTCATCTTCAACTGTGCCACGACTATAAAGCATATGACATTCTGGACACGTGTAAACACCGAAATTCTTTTGTCCAAAATCAAGAAACATTTGCTCTGTTTGTTTGACGCGTTTCCTTGGTGGCGATGCAGTATCTGAGTGGATTCTCGTGTTATTTTCCGAATTAAAACGTGGTATCAAAGGATATGCTTGTCTTTTTTGTCTTTTCACAATAACATTTCCAGAATCATCATCCGATGAGTTTTCGAACCTATCATTTTTTGGCTTGAAAAAATCACTAATAGATTTTTGCTTCACTTCTCCTGACGAACAGTTTTGATTCTGTGCTGAGTGCATATATTAATAAAATTCTTGAAAAAATCAACTTGTAATAATGTTTTATCTTTACACAAGGCTGCTTGAATTTATAATTTCGTTTAAATGTTCCTTTATGATGCTCAACATTATATTGACGAAAATTATTTCTGTGCCCCATAATTTTGTGCCCCTGACATTAGCTAGTGATTTTAGTGACCCCTAATTTTAACTCAATGATGTCAGTGATTACATCTCACTATCGTTATAATGAAGTCGTTGAGCTAAAAAAAAAATCTTTACTATAGTTTATATCGTGAGAATACTAGATGTACTTCATTATATCGAATTGAAGTTTAATAACTCCATAATTCAAAATTCATTATATCTTCACTATATCAAGAATTCATTATAATAAGAGTGAGGTGGTGAAACTGAAATTTAATATATAACAGCCAATCAAATGATAGATAAAATAAAGTGATTTATTAAAAATCTCGATAAAACTTAAATCGTTTTGTTATTTATCGGATTATGAAAAAAAGTACTATTACATTAAAATATGCAGTCTATTATGTTTTCATGCGAAATTTCTAAATAGATTAATATATTGAATGTCGAGATATATGGTAATTTTCTACCAAAAATTTGCAAACTTCAAATTGTATCTCCTTGACATTCTACATATTAAAACTGTTTAGAAATTTTGCATGAAAGCATAATGGATCATAAAATGAGAAGCTTTTTTTCATAACCTCTCGAAATTTCTAAATAGTTTAATATGTAGAATATCGAGATGCAATTTGAAGTTTGCAATTTTTTGTAGAAAATTGCCATACATCTTTTTGACATTTTATATATTTATCTGTTTAGAAATTTCTCATGAAAGCATAGTAGACAGTATATTTTAATGTAATAGAGAGCTTCTTTTTTTTTTATATACTGATAAATAATAAAACGATTTAGATTTTATCGAAATTATACTGTTGCCGCAGTATTTAATTATGAATGTTAAAACGAAATCTTCATATAAGACTATATATACATAGTACATTGGACACCCCAACGTATACGTACGATAAAGACCAATTAAAAAAAATTTGTATACAAATTTGAATGTTTTTAAACTTTTTTTAGCAAACCTATTTTTATCTATCGACTCAAAAAAACTCAGGTCACACGACATCATAGCTATCATGTAAATTTATAAAAGTCTAGATTTATGTATTATAACGTAATTTCAAGTTTTTGACCAAGTTTTTTTTTTTTTTTTTAGTAAAAAAAATTCGTATAATAGTATATATCGATATGTATCATAAAAATAAATGGTATATATATATATATATTTTTTCTAGACTAGATCGAAAATGGAATTTACATGTTGCAAGGATAGGTGCGCATCTATCCCTAACGACAACGAAATTTATTACGAATTTTATTCATTATTGTGCATATATTATGCATTTATATTGTATATTATATATCAAATATATGATTCGAGCGTTTTATGCAACGGTATTGTACTATATATAAATATACTACCAATCGCATTAACTCTATTAAGTGTATAAAATAAAATTCATACAACTCTAGTCATTATAAATACATTAAAAAAAAAAAAAATTTGAAGAGACTATATATATATATATATAATTAATAATAAAGATTGGTTACCAAATTTATAAAAATTGGAATAGACCAAAAGCCATTAATCCTAATGTTAAAACGAAGTTATTTAGTAACGAACTAGCATCAGATTTTTGACCATTTTGGCCATTAGATTGTCCGTTGTTGGTAGGATTGGAACCGCTATTATTTGAACTTTGAGTCGGCATTGGTACACTTGTATCCACATAAGCACAAGATGCGTTAGTGCACAAACAAGAATTTCCGATCGGATCCCACCAAACAGTCTCACAGTTCGTGGGTAATCTGTGTCTATCGCCACCTGTGAAAAGAAGAAAAATTATAATGTAGCCGTGGTAACAGAATGAATATTTTTGCAGACATACCTGGAGGGACAGGATTATCAAGAGTAATATCACTAGTTGGACAACCATAACATGTACTCCATGAACCATTAGGGAAAGTACAGGTTTCTAAAAGACCATCATCAGTTAAGCCATTACAAATTTTCTTGTCAATCTTTGGAGCTTGGCATTTGAATGGAGCATAATCTTTGAGTTGACTTGCAGGAACAGGATTTTTCATCCAGGTGAGAAGCTGTTGTGAAGTTACAAACCATACATTTGGTTGTGCTAATGCCCAATCGAAAAATTCTTGAAGCATCTGAATCATTGGTTCAGTATCTGATTATGAAAAAGAAAAATTTAATATGATTTAAACATAAAGAAACAAATTAGAAATGCAAAGATCATTACTTCTGCCAGGAGCTGTAGAATTATCGAGTTGAACTGGATGAATATAAACACCTAGGTATATGTGGTAAAAAGTAAATAAGGATAACGAGTATAAGTGGTAAAAAGTAAAAAGTGATAATTAATATATACCGAATGGAGTTTTTCCTTGGGTAAGGTGACGATTGAAATTGTCCTGTAACCATTTTTTTACAACATCAGTAGTATTATCGAGGTATGGATCCATTAAATGAGGTAGTCCTTGTTCATCTAAAAGTTAATGATAACATTTGTTTGTTAATAACGAAAAGAAATTATTGATAAAATATTGATATAAACATATATTTTATATACATACCGATAAGGGCAGCCATTGGAATTTCAAAGAAACCGGGAATTATTGTTGAATTACAAAAACCTTTCCAACAATCATTATAAAGACCATAATCTAAAGTGTAAGGCCAAGATGCATCTTCTTTCTTTTTTAAACAACACATAATATTATAATGATAGATCATAGTAAATTTATAAATAAATTTAAGGGGTAATCGAATCAAAACTACCGTATTCTACCGTAAATAAGCACCACACCCTCTACCCCATTTTTTTAAATGTCAGATTAACGGACATTGCAATGAGATCTTTAGCCAAGTTATTTCCGCTAATCTGGCATTTAAAAAAATGGGGTAGAGGGTGTGGTGCTTATTTACGGTAGAATACGGTATAAAAACGAATTTTTTATTTACCAAAGCTGTAACACTTGAATCATATTGAAAACCTAATTTTGCAAGAGTCTGAAGAACTTCCGGCGTCCAATCTAGAAATGGGCTATTAATTTGTTAAGATAAATTGTCAACAGTTGGAATAAAAAAAAAAATCATGAACGAGAATCATTGTAAATGAAGTTGCAAACTTACGTTCGAAAACCTTTAATGTTGCCATTCGGAAGCCCGGCAAATGCATTGAGCGCTGCCTTACATCCAGTAATTTCATCTATTAAAAATATATTAAAAAATATATTAAAAATATATCGATATATAGATTAAATATTGGCAAATTGGGAGTAAATGGACTTACTTTCGGGTGATTTTCCGACATGGGTCATGGTATGGTCGGCAACTTCTTGACCACGGGCATACCATTCAGTGACCATAGACATATTTGTGTATTGAATGCTAACATAATAAGTAGCACTGATAGGACATCTAAAAAATTCGTACGCACATACTTAGGATTAAAAATCCTCGATTCAATCACGTGAAAACACCTAGCACGTACCCATTAGGATTTTTCCTAGTTCCCATTAACTTGTTTACAACTAAAGGAGAATTGAAATGTAAATAAATGTCCATGTTTCACTTCATTACTCTAACTAATAAATAAATAGTATACCTGACATAGTACGATCTTGAATAGAATCATCTAAAAAAAAAAAAAAAAGAGCTATCAACCAAAAGTAATAACCAACAAAACGAATGAAACAGATATATACCATAAGTTAACATGAAAAATTGCGGAGTATCGTCCAGAGAAAGACCTCCAGGAGGAGTTATTCCGGGACAAAAACAAGTTGGAGCTTTACAATTTGAAGGATTACAAGCGGCGCTATCAGCAACTACCAAGCAAATGGTAGAGCCAAGAAGGGTCCAGACAAAAGCCAATAATAATGATTTAAATGGATTCATCATCTTAGAAATAATATAAAGAATACAATTGTATTTTTCATGTACATGAAATTTAATTAAAAGAAGAAAGAAAAAAAAAATGAATAGCAGAGCAAAGAAAATTGGGTAATTATATTTTAAATAAATTTGTGACCAAATAACAGCGTTGCTCAAATGATGATAATATAAGATTTATTTTATGATTATAGTTAATCCACCAACCGATTAAAAACTTTTGGGAAATTTTTATACACAGATAAATTTATCATGTTGTGTTTTATCGGCTAATAATTGATATAAATTTGGAATAAATTCAGATTTCCTTTTTAACTATAGGTACGTGAGGTAATCATTCATGTTAGAATCGAGTAAGTTACAGGGGCAGCCTTCTATCCGAACTTGTAACGGTAAATGCAGTTATTCATAGTTGCCATAGCAATTTGTAACACAACAAATAAATATGCACGTTAATCTTCAGAATGCAGTTGAATCAGATTAATTTAATTCAATAATTTTATATTTAGAAATCCCAATCTTCTATTTATAAAATATACAAATAAAAATGGTATTCAGAAAATTTACCAAATTTATAATGCTAAACAAAACATATTTTTAAAAAGATATATATATCATTAACCAAAAAAGATTTCAGAATCAAACCAGTTTTAAAGATTTTATACAATGTCAATTCAACTGATTTGCTACAGTTTCCTACACAGTATAACAAATAAGATATGCAGAAATATGTATGAGCATGCTAAATTTAATATTACTTGTTGATAAAATTATATGCGATGCTTATATATAATTAAAGAATCATAAAGATTTACGTATGTTGTGTCAGTCATATATATATTATATGCAGATTGACTCTAACCAGTCAAAATTTTAATAATATTAGACCAATATTCTGATACTTGTCAAATTGGTCAAATTGCAGATTTGTGTATCTAAATTTAATTATGCGCTAAACTAAGGCTGTACGTACTAAAACTGGTCATCCATAATAATATCTCTCAACAGCAAGCATGGCGTAATCGCAAGGATCCCGTTATCTTTTTTTAATTTTGTATATAAACTTAAGCTTCCAAGAAAAAAAAAAAAATGCGATTCAGTTCATAGAATCATGAAGAAAGCAATTTTCAGATTATCGCAACTAATGCATTACTACTTACTATACTGTATAATAATGTAGTTCTCAAATAATCTAATTTTTAAAATTAAATAATATAAAATGTCTTGCATTGATGCAGCAGACCGGCTCATACCACATTAAGAGGCTTTTTTTTTGTGCATTACATTACTTTCATGCGCTGATATTCATTTTTAAAAAGTACAATTTTCTATATAGAGCCAAAGTTAATTTAGGACACGGGAAAAAAATTAGACCTGACCTTTTTAAATTATGTGATTAACAAAGTTTCACCTTTCTAAAAATCTCACATGTTGATAAATAATTTTAAACCTCACATGACAAGGGCATGCCCACGGGCATGTCTCATTGGGGTTGTCTCTTAACTAAGTAAATCAAACTATATATATCGATATATGTGTACGTAGTCACTATTATTATATGAGTTTATCATTTTGTATGATTAATACAGAGCCATTTTTTATATTGCCGCCAAGGAAAACCCCGAATCCGGAAAGTACAGGTTACTATCATCACGATGAATCATTAATGATTTTAATAACCTGTACTTTCTGGATTTAGGCTTTCCTTGGTAGCACTCATATAGGGAATGAATTTTTCTAACCTATTTTATATATATTTGGATAATCTGGTCAAAATTTAAGCTACTGGCAATAATTTTTTTAATCAAATATAAAATTTGGCACTATAGAGATCTTCTATCGATCCATTCAAAATTTGGAATTCTAGTTTTATTATGAAAAAAATCTTATACATACGTACATACCAAATTTTTATATGATATACTGTATATACCATATATAGGTCTTACGTATTGTCTGGCCTGAAATATGATTCTATTCCTGTATTCTATTCATTCACGTTTTAAAAAAATAATGTTCAATACTTGCAGTTCCAAATAAATTAATTTTTCAATTTGCATTCTTGAGAAAATGTATTTTTTTAATCATTATCATAATATTTTTTACGATTTCCAATTCGAGCTTTTTATTAAATTAAATGTGAATTTCTTATTCAGACGAATATCCTTCTAATTGTAATTTCAAAATGTTATTACGTCATATATAAAATTGGTCGCACAAAAATTGCGCCAAGTTAATGGCGCAGCAAAATTTTTTAAAGTTCATTAGAGACTGGGTAGTGATATAGTAAAATTGCACAAGGAAAACTGCACTAAAAGTGATTTTTTTTGAGAAATAAACAATCTTTTAACAAAATTTGATCGTGTTACATTTTGAAATACTTATGATTTGTAGATCGTTTATCTGCGCCACGCACCCATCCGGATAATTAGATCGGAATGATAGTACGATCGATCTATAACGCTAAAGGAACTATGTATTCATTGCATCATTAATTTATACAAATATTAAATTTTTATCTGATTTTACAAGCTAAAGTTATAATATAAATTAGAACCTAAACAAATTATTGCATATTGGATATATGAATCTATCTAAATTTGAGTGCGTTAATTGAAGTTGCGTAATTTTTTAAGTGATCATCCGGACTATCATCCGGGCGATTATCCGATCCCAACTTGGTACACATTTTCTGGGTGCCTGCGCCACAATGATTGGTACAGAATTTTTGGTCCGAGTTCAAAGATGATCAATGATTCTGTGAAATATTATAATTATTACATGGGTCTGATGTAACAACCCGTGCAATCCATTCTTAAACAATAGATCATAAAAAATAGAAATAATTTACAAGTCGATCTACATCGTTTTATTCGGTTTTTTTATTACGTGCTTATAAGAAAAATAGCTAAAAGCTTAAGAAAAATATTTAAAAGCTAAAGACAAATATATAACGATATAAACTAACTATCTAATTTTTAATACTGGATAAAAATATGAACAAATATAAATAATTCTAAATTAAGACGGGTTTTAGATTATACGAAAATTCCTATAGATAATACAGTAACAATATTAGAAGTTAGTTCGTCGTTAGTTAACTGTCAATATAGTAATAAATAAACAGAATAATGTTACGTTACTCACTTCGCAGAAAATTTGGATTTTAAATTCATTGTGAATTTTTTATTCTTTTAAACCTTACTATTTGATTGGCTAAATAACATGTGACAATATATGAACATCTAATTGGTGTTGATCTTTTTGTTTTGATGAAATCTATTGGTGCTGATCATATGAATGATGTAATTACGTCAAATCAATAATCAAAACAATACAAAAAAGATATACCCCTTTGTGTTTTTCGTTATTTTTTTTTTACACATTATTTTTTTTCACACATTAATTTTTTTTTTCACACTTTCATCACAAACTTTTATTATAGTTGGTTTTTATTTTATCTCAAAAAACACTACGTCGGCTCGTCGGTACTAAAAGGTAATGTATCATAGATGTCTAGGTTGTTTTTACTGTTAAATCAGTGAAAATTACATCTGGTTTATGGTACAGTAACTGAATAGTTGCTTAACGATTGTGTGCATCTATTCACGACCTTTTAACTAGAGATTGAAGACAATAGAAGCACTTCGGGCCGCAACTTGTGACAGTTACTAGTTAGGCATTGAGACCTACGGTAAACGGCTTGTTGCGAACGTCTATTTCTTTTTTCAATAGTTTTAAGGGTTACTATTGCGGTTAGTATTTTGGTTTCAAGTTCGCAGGACTGACTAATTAAGGTAATTACTCCTTAAGAGGGTCGGGTGGACGGGAATCAGATATTAATCGTTGTAGGTAGTGTACGGGTGCATAAAATCAAGCAACTGGAAGCTCTTCGCGGCCGCAGTAACTTTGTGGCCACAGTTACTGTGAACGTCCTTGTTTGATTTTTCGATTATTATGCAATTTTATTCATTTTTTTTTTTTTTTTTTTATACCGGTATATAGGTCATATTACGCAATACGACGAAATACTCAAGACCAAAAAATTCAAATTAAGTTTAAAAAAATTGATTGTTTTTGTTAATATCGATTGTTTTTTTTTAATAAAAATAATAAATTCATGTATTTTAATAAATTTATTAAATATTCGAAATCGTTCAATAAAAGGTGTAAAAAATGTAAAAAAAAAAAAAAATTTATAAACGTTTGAAAATAAATGAAAAGTCTCAATTAATTAATTATAATTAATCGATTTTGTATTTATTGTTTTTAAATTATTGAATCAAATTTCGTACCAGTTTGAAAATGATTAAAATAGAGCTCTATGCAAGCGAGTAACATTAAAGGGTGAAACAAATCAATTTCTACTAAATAGCTTTAATTATAAAAAATTCCACGAAACATCAAATGTAATTCCGATTCGTTCAATTTGGTTCAATTTGTTAAAACTGGACAGACTGTTCCAATTAACAATAAACTTTATTTTTAAAACACACTTCAGTTATACTTATATTCATTTGACAATGTACTTGGACAAGTGGCATCGCGAGGTTCGATTGCCAGACTATTATATTCTAAGGTCCAATCTTGCACTTCATAAGAAACATAAGGCTTATAGACGTATCAAATACGTATTATATACAATCACAAGTGTTATGTGCTAAAGGTTCCGATAAAAGTCGTCAACACTTTTTAAAGTATCGTTCATATCTCAAGTTACAGCTATCGGGACAAAAAGGTTATCAAATCAAATCATATCTCTAGATATTATATTTATCGAATAAAATTTTAGATCGAGTTCATTTAAACTTCATTAAAAATATTAAAAATATTAACGTTTTACCAATTTGTCTCGGGTAACAAACACTAACAAGAATACTAAGAAGTGGAACGGTATAAAAAAGAACGAAAATATTTTTAAAAGATTAGAGGAAATATATAATAAGGATTTATTTCAAATTCAACGCAATCAAAACGGTAAATTCTCAATCCAATTAATTATACAATTCATTATCTTACAAATCTCACCCATAGAAAACCTATTTTGCATCTTAAACTTGAGAATTAGATTGTAATATATTAATTCTTTTTTTAAGAAGATTCGTGCAAATTAATAACTTAACCAGAATTAAGTTTTCTGACCCTGTATATAAGAATTAAAATAATTTCGGCATTACTAAAATGTATCATAGGTGTTTAACATCATAGTCGCTATATCTTAAAAACTGTACTAAGTAAAAATGTTCAGAATCTCCAAAAAAAACCTGTGTTAACTAGTGTTGGCAGGCGAAACCTAAGAGTTTCGCCACAGATGAAAGGCGAAACTAGTTTCGACTTTCGCCAAAAAAAAATTAAAATGGCGAAATGGCGAAACTGCTAATAGGTGGCAAAATTAGTAAAAAATAGTAAAACTAGCAAGAATAGAAAGGTAATTAAAGTTTTTTTATATAAACATCAATATTTTTATTTATATATATAGCATAGCACGATACTCTTATTTATCGCGCATCAATTTGATTGGCTAATTCCGTCGATCATAGTTACATGAATTTAAAAAAATAAAATTTTAACCTTTTTTATATTTTTACTAATAATATTATAAAAATTAGACGGCTCAGTCTTTTCAGAAACCTTAGAGGATTTGATCTTCGTCAAGTTTTGACTTTCCCTAGGGGTTTCAACTTTAGCAGGAGTTTCGCCGTTTCGCCAGTTTCGTCATCCAACACTAGCGTTAACCTAAATTTGGGCTTTATATCTGACCTCTATCTAAATCAGTAGTTGCATCCTAACTATAAATTTTAATTTTCATTTTTTATTCCAATATGAATGTGAATTTTAAATTTTTGTTCAATTTGGATAAGCTTATTTTTGTTGTACAGTACTGCAGTATGACCTTTCTAAACCAATATGTATAATGGACAGCTTTGTATCAGTTTTGAAATACTAATAAGGCCACACCACACTTTTTTACATTTTATACATTTTTTTTAGCCAATAGAATTGACATGTTTATTTTTTACTGTCAATTTTTTTATCCTCCTCCTTCTCTCTCTTGCAAAATATTTATATTATCTTAAACAAAGAATCAATTTGGAGTGGTCTAACTATTAGTTATATAGCTATAAACAAGTATGATTGACTAGATTTATTTTTTATATTTATAATATATTACACAAAATCTAATTTGAGCCAATCAAATCAATTTATTTTACCTGTATCTTATAAATTTTTAATTTTTAAGTATTAGTTAGCAGATTAGACTTATGGAACAGACATGGTGTCTCAATTTTTTATCAGTTATTACAGGTTATTAGTTTTTGGAGGTCTGATTGTGAGTGAAACCGTAATTTATATGTTAAAATCAATCCTAAAATGCTAGTTTTATATAAAAATTCCAGATTCGCCTAATAAATTCAATTTAATTTTACATTATTTATACAGTTTAGAGTACTTTTTAAAAAAACGAAAACCAACTATAATAAAGTAAAAAAAAAACCATATAGAAGGTTTCATTAGAGCTGTAGGACTCCATAGTCAAAAATAAGATCTAATTCTCATTCATTTAAAAAAATTAGCTTAGTAATAAGTTGATTTTATTTGGTTTTGAGAAGTTATTACTATACTAACTTTTTTAAACGGACGAGAATTAGATCTTATTTTTGACTATGGAGTCCTACAGCTCTAAAGAAACCTTACATATGGTTTTTTTTTTACTTTATTATAGTTGGGTTTCGTTTTTTTTAAAAAGTACTCTAAACTGTATAAATAATGTAAAATCAAATTAAATTGAATTTATTAGCCAATCAGACAAACTTCTGCTATGAGCCTAAATTCCATTTCCACTTATAATATTTTCACCGGTCTATATGATTTTCATATAGACTGATGAAAATAAGCTTGTCAAAATTGAACGGGTTGTTACATAAGACAAATTAAATAAACTTTATGATCTATATTAATATGCATAAATGTGTTTAGGACAAAATTTCGTGTTTTGATTTTGGTTAATGATATTTTATTCATTGATAATCGAAATATGATCCATGGCCCTTATACATATCGATATCGATATGGGCTGAACGCTGCAAAAAAGGAGGAGATCAGAAAATCAGTTGAATTTTATAAGTTATAAGAAATTGCAAATTTGAAGAGCCATACTGCAAAATTTTATTAATATAATTACTTTTTGTGTTTTAAGTGAAAAATGATCCCGATCTTATTATGAATTAATTTATAAAAAAAATTAATTTTAAAAAATTTGTACATTTCCTCCCTTTTTGCAGCACCTAGCTCATATACGTAAAAAGAGAATAAAAATATGATAGTTTGCATGATGAATTTTATAATCATCGATAATCATCAATTTTCATATAACCTTGCAATCTTTGTGTATCATAATTAAATACTATATTTATTCCTTATCATATAGCCCACTGTGCTCTAATACTAGTTATTAAACAAAAACTATTTCTGATGCATTACACAATTTAAAACTTAACACGTAAAGTGAGTTAATAGAATAACAATTTTTTTTCATTAAATAGAAATGATTTATTGGGTAATTTTAGAGACATTATTTATTCAGGATGGTAATTAAATTTACTCTTCTTCTTCCAAATAGTCAACCATTATTTGTGCTCCTCCTAGTTCCAAAAAGGCTTTGCGTAGATTATCTTGTGATGTAATATTTAGGAATGCTGGTGTCAATATTTGAACAAGATCCATCTCTTTAGATTTTTCTAAACTATAAATTATTAAGGTAGTTAGGAACCATGTAAAAACAATAGAGGTGCAGGCATCTTGTCATAACTTTGTCACGAAAATTAAAAAATATCTAACTGGCTCTTGATATTGAGGAAGTCAGTAAAAAAGAGACAAATTTTCCAATTAAAAATTTTCCTTTAATTAAATATCTCAATAATTGTAGCCCAAACTTGATATAAATATTTATTTTGATTCTATATAATTTTAGAATTAAAATAAAAAATTTTTTATCAAATTTTATAATAGGCATTTTTAAGAATTGTAAAAATTCACTAAAAATGATTTATCCCTTTTCTACTAACGCCTCCCATATATTACCTACACGGATCGGGCGGTACCAGCAAAAATTTGAATATTTATGATTTTCATTTTTCTAGTCACTATGCACAAATAAATTCAGTTGCGAATCCTATTCATATAGATTACACGATCATTATCTGTGCTGTTTCACATCGGTTCGTACTAGAGTTGCAGGTGAAACTAAATAGAACAGCCAATAAGAAACTTCATGGTGAAACTTAAAATTAGTTTCACCAGCAACTCTAGTTCGTAACCATTAATATTCAAATTTTTACCATCCCATTCAAAATAAAATCCTTCATTATGACAAATAACTGTCTCACTTAATATGCACATTCGTTTAATGCAAAGAAACCATAGTAGTTTGATTTGAAGTTAAAGGTTTATCATTCTTTAGCATTAAAAGTCCTTTTTATATAGTTTAGGCAGTGATTAAAAAGTAATCAAAGCTATTTGCATCCTAACAGAAATCAATTGGTTAGATATATCTAATACCTATTGATTAAAAATGCTGTTGAAATTAAACTAGTGTAGTGAAATAATTTCATCACTATTGGTAAAAGTGGTGAAATAGTGTTATCAATTGGACTAATTGGACATAGTCCAATTCCCATTGAAAATGTGTCTACTTAATCCAATCAACAACACTGGATTCAATTGTATTTTTAACCACTGCCCTAAAATTAAAGGATTTTTTAATGCTAAAGAGTAGATAAACTTTAAATTATGATTACGGCTTCTTTACATTAAACAAAAATCAAGATGCACCTTTGACATAAGAAACACATATAAAATTTTGGTGAGACGATTTACCCACGTGAATAAGAATAAACTCATACCAATAATTATAAATGCCAATTAAAAATGGCAACACTGCCAAGGTTTCTTTTTCTAATGAGCTTTCTTCTGCAAGCCATGCAGAAAGGATACGAATACTAGCTACAACTTTTTCATCCTTCACAGCAGCCTCATAAGAAATTCCTTCTTCCTATAAAAGATTATAGTACATATTTAGTTTTGAATCGAAATATTAGAATTCTAAACGAAAGTTGAATAAAATAATACTTTAACGTCTACTAAATATTCAATTATGGCACGAAATGTTTCAGTCATAGTACCCTTTAATCGCAGTAAAACATCAGGCTCTAATTTTACTCGATTTGTTTCTACTTTTTCCTGTGACTCTAATAAATTTTCAACGTGTAATAGATACTCGATCGATTTTTCCAAAATAGTATAACATGCTGGTAACATCACATCAAGACGTTCGTTAAATTTATCATTCTTTTTTTCTTGTCCTAACTCATCCAACATCAATCGTATTTCAACGCATGATAATTGTGTCAATAATGCTGAAAATTTAAATTCGTTCTCAATATCACCCGCCGCACTTTTTGATATCTGAGTTAAAGTGAGATTTGATGTGACAGGAGCTAATAATGAAGTAGTTCCAAAGTGATGAAGAAGTAACATGACAAGAGACAGTGCCTTATCACGTTGTTCACTCCCTATAATTCATGCACGATTTTAAATTAATTCAATTATCAATAAATTACGGTTTAAAATTGATTCTACGTCAAATTATACAAATTACCTAATTTACTACTTAAAATTTCTAATAAACCATGCCTAAAATTCTTAAGCCAAATGCTAATTTGCGATTTATCATTAATTAAAAAATCTTGAATAAACTATTAATTAAAAATAATAGAATTATGTGCTTGTTAAAAAGAAACACTTTTGAATTATATAATTCATTAAAACTTACCTGATCTGATATAAGTGAAAATATATTAACAAAAAATTGAAGTAAATCAAATTTAATTTTATCTTGATTTATTCGAAATGTTTCTGATAATTGTTTAAATATTGTAAAGATATATCCTTGAACAATTGTTTTAGAATCAGAAAGGCTCTGATTCTGTGAAATTGATGTGGTCACACCGATAGTAGTGTAATAAATTACATTCAAAGCAAGTTCCTGTATTTCAACTATAAACTGTGTTAATAAAATGTTAAAACAAAGTTTTTAAAGAAAAATTTTAGCTAAAAGTATTAACCATTTGTGAAAGACGTTATACACTGCAAAATCTTTGAAATAACTTTGTCATCTATAATATAAATCAAACCTTGATTTACGGATGATAATCTAAGAAGTATCCCTAAGATATCTCGCGTCAACTCTTCGTTACTAATTAATTGACGCGAAATTAGAGAAATAATCGCTATTAAACTTAAACAATTAATGCTTTAACTACTTACTTTTGAGATATAAGAGACGCAAGAGTTGGAATACGAGCATGAATCTGTTTTCTATTTAAAAGTTCGTCAGTTGCGCAAAAGCAAGATAATATATTAACGGCTATTGATTTTAAAGTAAAGTCTGGTAGGTTGTCGTCATTTACACTCTCTAAATACAGTACAAAGATTTCATAAATAAGTATATAAACTTTTTAATAATTAAGAATTATGAAGTAATAAATACCAGTTCTCATTAAGCGCTCCAAAAACTTGAAATCCATCGCGTCAAAAATGAGTACCACGTTTTTTTTTTCCTGCTTCAGAAGTCGTGGTAAAAGCATAAGCGCGACAAATTTAGCATCATCCGATGAAGATGGACGCAATAATTCTATGCATCGATCAATTTCATTTTGGCTTTCGCTTTGGTTTTCTTGAGGGTTTGACATTTTTATCTGCGAATGGCTTAACATTAAGACATCTAATATCGATATGTATAAATTTTGATATTGTGTAACTTTATTCAAAGGACATTCGTTTGATTGGTTAATTCAAGTCAATGATAATTTTTTCTGTTAATAAACATGCAGTATAAAAGTTTTTGATTTATGTATTACCTTTTAAAAGGAAAAACATTTGAACATTCCGATAACTTATTGTAGTTATGTATAATCAAAAAGTAGTAATGTATCGTCTCTAGTAAAAGAATGATGGCTGAAAAAATAAAATAGAATTAATTAAAAATATAATGAATAAAGAAAACATTTCATTGATTTAGTTTCTAGAGCAGTTTAGCAAAGCCATTTATCTATATATGTTAGAAAAGCATACCGTATACAATTCATATCCCACAAATCTTAAAATCTATAAAGACCCAGGTTATAATAGTACATAGTTGAAAGCTTATATCGTTAAAAGAAAAATTTAAAGGATATGCATATTATTATTTATAACAGTCTAGATATAAAAAAAAAAAATAGCAATTTAATTATTATAGATTTCTCGATTTACGCCCGAGTGAAGGTATCTCGGTTACCACCCGATCAAATTCGATGAAATTTTTTTTATAATCATTTAGATTTTCAGGACTTTAAAAGGTATTTCTACGTGATCGTAGAATCAACCCCCCAATTTCACAACTTTTACTAGCACTGGCAGGTTAAATAGTTATTAGGAGAAACCTAGAGATTTCGAGCTGATAAAATACGAAACCTGGCTTAACCTTTCAACAATTAAAACTTCAAATAACGAGATGACGAGATAACGAAACTGGCAGAAGGTAAAGAATTTAACGAAATATGGCAAGACCGACAAAAGCTAGAAAAACAGATGTATCCAGAAAATATGTACAAGATTTGTGCACCATGGTTGTTGGATAGCATATAACGAGGAATTCAATTATATTTTTATCTGCATAGGCGTACGTATTGATTTAGAACTATACAATAAGAATTTGACCTTAGCTATGTTGATTATTCGATATTGCACACTATAATTCTGTAAATTTTCATCTAAAAATGTGTATTAAATTAGTGGCTACATCGTATACATTAACATTCAATTCGTGATCCATATCGAAAGTGATTTATATAGTCATTTTTTAATTATATAAAGTTTTAAATTTTTGTATGTAAAATAACTTTAGTCCTTTATTTGATTTATTATTCACTTTATCAGTAGTCTATAGATAGATATAAATCTTCATTAATGAGCAATTTTTTTCTCAAATAAAAATAATTTAACAAAATAAATAAATCATACAATTTAAATCGTTCTTAAATAAATAAACAAACAAAATATATTCAAATAAAATTATACTTCAATAAATAACTTGTTACTATATTACTATTCATTACAAATTTTATTAAAAACGAATAGTATTACAATTGCGTTATAAGCAATTTAGATGTAAATAACTAAATACTCTATTTTCTACTAAGTAAAAATCTATAAAAACTAAATAAAGATTAATTGTTTTGTTACCGTAACGTAATCGTAACCAATATAACTATCAAACTTTTTTTAAAAAATATGGGTTAATAGCCAAAATCTTGAGTTTTTTTTTAACTAGATAATACCTAAACCACACAACAAAAACATCGATACCAAAAGTGACTTTAAAAGGATATAATGCATTCATTTATATTTAGCCTTTTCTCTTTCTGATCCAGGATAAAATCTAAAAAGTCGGCGAATTGTTGTTTCAAAATGCATTGGTTAATACTTTTTCAGCTATTCGGGTTGTAAAGTGCATTAGCTACCTGATTCAGGAAATTCGAAATAAAATTCAAAAAGTCAAATCTAGAGTGTCTCTCGATAAATGAAAATTATACATACTTGATTGTTTCTAAAAAATTCTTCATAAAAACAAGTGTATTTCTTTTTTTCGTTTCTTTTAAAAAGAGCTATAAATTTAAAAAAAAAATGTAAGTATTAAAGATATCATCATTACAACCGCAGATTTGCCTTACACCCATTTCGTCGCTACAACTTAGAACATCATTGTAGTTCATCCTCGTCGCTACACTTGGGTCATCATTGTAGCTCATCCTCGTCTCTACAACATAGATCATTATTGTAGTTCATCCTCGTCCCTACAACTTAAAATCGTTGTAGTTCACTCTTGTCGCTACAACATGAACTCTATTGTAGTTCATCCTTATCCCTACAATGTGAACACCAAGGTAGTTCATTCTTGTCTCTACAACTTGAACATCATTGTAGTTCATCCTACAGGGCAGCGTAACTTATGACATGCGGTACGCTAAATAACCCATACTTAGTAAACAAAAGTACTTACAAAATTAAACTTCTATTCAAATCCAAAAGCGCTAACGTGATGTTGTTACAAGTGCCTTACTAATGCTTTTTTTCTCCTAATCCAAGATTCAAAAAAGTCAACGTAACGTTGTTGCAAGTTATATTAGTCAATACTTTTTCATTTTTTGATCCAAAATTATTGCAAGGTACATTAGCTAATACCTTTTCTTCTTTTGATTCAAAGTTAACGCGAAGTTGTTGTATATTTCTTTCCTTCTTTTGATTGGCATTCAAAGAAGACATTACGATGTTGTATTTGTTGACTTTACTTCCGGTTTTAATTTATTCTACTCAATATTCCAAGAAGTCAATATGTTGTTTTTGCAAAACACAGGTGCTAATAGTATTTCTATTCTACTTGACCCAAAGTGCAACGAAAGTATATCGGCAAGACTAGAATAAAACAAAAAAAAAAACCAAGTAAATAATCTGTTTATTATCGCGTCTATCAAAACATTCATTTTTTTGTTAAATATCAATTTTTGTGCGCGTGATGCAAACTTTTTTGAAAGGTCAATTACATAATGATCTACATATTGCATAAATCGTATTACTCAAAAAAAGTGACCCCTAACCGGACATGGCTTTAGTCATCCCTCCGGTCATGTGAGTTTCCGAGGTTCATAGTCTTCGGTTTACAGCTGCTGGTAAAAAAATTGACCGAATGATTGTTTGGCAGATTCGATAAGTTTTTGATTTCGTGTAATGATCGATTATGTATTTATGTATATATCTTTGCTAAATGACAATAGTGATATGAGTGCTGTACAGGGAAAACTTGTAACTACAGTCAACCCTCCATAAAATGCACACTAATCATCAGTCCCAAGCATATAGAGCACTTAATAAATGTCCTTCATAAATGCACACCCTCTCTAAATGCACATTTTTAAAAAATTTTGCTTATAGTCCTAAGGGGGTGCATTTATGGAGGGTTGATTGTATCGGACTTTACAATAAGAGACACCAGTGTTGATCAAATATTACCGGTATTACGAATAGTAGTGGTGATTTTTGGTTTAGTAAAGTAGTCGAATATACTACAATAATCGCACTTGAGTAAGAATTTAATCATTATATGTGACCTCACGAAAATTCTACAGAAATTTATTTATTTATCGTTTAATAAAAATATAATAAAAATAAACCACATGAGACAGTACCAAAAAGAATTTAGAAGTAACTTAAATCATTGTTTACGGCTGCTTTCACAAAATTGAGATTTTTACAAGATCGTATTAACGTTTAACAAAAATCAAGATTTTCATAAAAGTCCTACCAATCGAGGACGCAGTCACATGACATTCCGACCTCATGATTCTCTGGAAAATTTGAATCTGAAAAAACGTTTTATCAATCATTTTTGTTTTTTTGAAAAAAAGGGAATAGCGATAGTTTAATCCCCCGCTCAACGGATCAGGATATTTTACTGCAAACAGGGGTACCAAAAAATTAATGCAACCCAATTTTTATACGATCAACTAAAATTGTTATTAATTGCGAATAATTGTAATTTTTACCTTTATTATAAATTTCGCAATAATGTAAAATTTGATAACAATATCTAAATGATTTATTAGATTTGTATGACCCGTTTGATTATCGGCTGTGATTCGGAAGGACATAAATTACACTAATATTTGCCATCATCGTCGAAAGAATATAAATTATGCTGATGATTACAACATTTGAAGGTCTAAAAAAAGCATCTTTTTGATTATTGACCATGGCTGGAAGAACTTAAATTACATTAATGTCTGTTGTCATTTGAAGGTCTAAAAAGGAATCTATGTAACATTTTTTTAAACTTGGAATCCATTGGAATCGATTAAAAAAAAGGATTTAGAATGCTATACCATACACATGTCTTTGTAAAGGAGTGTAAATTAATATTCTTGTGGTTTATACAATTTTTAATTCAAAAAAGTGATTATTTGATTGCTTTTTTTTAACCTACAAGTTTGGACATCAAATACGTATACTCATACTTATGTTTATTATTACATATTTTATCAAGTCGTTACATTGTTCAATTAATTGACTCTTTGTGACTGCGCTACAAATTAATTAATTTGGTTCAAATAATTGCCCTCACAATCAATTATTCGGTGAGCCTGATTCTGAAGAGAAACTTAATTAAAAAAAATAATTCAAACAGATTTAAATTGTTCAAATGATATTGATACATGCTATAAACTCAATAATATAAATTTAAAAATGTCAAAGTTTATTAGGTTCAAAGAAGCCCATTATAGTAACCTTTCGCTGTAACCGGATTTATAAACGAACCTGCCTTCATTCATGATCTGAATTAACACAAATAACTAATTAAAACAAAGTTATATAAATAGTTGCAGCATTCTAAAAATATACTCATGAGTTAAATAATAAAAAGAACTAGTGTTTAAATTATATATGAGGACAAAATTATTTTGAAAAAATGAAACCTAAAATTAAATTTAAAGATGGAATTGTTTTGACCTACCTTTACTTAAAAGATAAAATTTTTTATGTTTTTTTTTGAATAGATAAAATTATAAAAAACATAAATATATAAATTAGATTTGCTTTTCTTTATTAATTTGCTTTAATAAAAATGAAATAGGTCTTTTTTGAAAACCTATTGTTGTAACATGTATAATTTAAATATAGTTTACCTTTGTTAGAGTAAACTCTTGATATAATAAAGAATTTTGAATTACAGAATTATAAAGCATGTTTAGTATTTTTAAATCATATATTTTCAAACTATATTTTTTTAAGATATGTTTTTTGAGTTATGTTTTTTTTAAGTTATATATTTTTAAATCATGTTTTTTGAATCATATATTTTTAAGTTATATATTTTTAAGTTATGTTTTTTTGAGTTATGCTTTTTTAAATCATGTATTTTTAAATTATATATATATATTTTTTTACTAAAGCCAATGTTATCAGTAGCTACTGCTTTTATTTGTGTTTTTAATTAATACATTACATTAACTTGTATAAGGTAAGTATGCAACCAATTATATGTATAACTTTTGGTTACTTGCTCAAAGGTTTTATACTGTCATATCTGTAATCTGCCAAAAAATTATCTATTAAATACTCTGATATTTATACTGTACTTAGGTGAGTAATATCTGGTTCTTGTACAACTAAGTGCTGTCTAATTTGATATTTAACCTTTTTTTTTGTACGTTTGTTAGATTATTACCTATTTCAAAGCATGTTATCTAACTGTAAAGCTCTGAAGTGTTTCTTTGTTAACTACCTACTTATTTTATAGAACATTAACAAAACTAGCTCTTGTAAAGTTTATTCAGACTCTAGCATCTACTTCATAGCATATTTCTAGTACTTTAGTATACCTTTGCTTTGCTCTTAGACACCCAATCTAGATAGTCTGATAGGATTATAACCTGTTCTTGATATATCAAACTAGTCTAATATTCTTTTTTTCTGGTTTGATTCTGATGGCCTAATTAATAGTACCTATTATCTTAAGGTTCTTGTCTGTTTAGTTCTTTTACTCTGTTTCTTAAGTTTAGTCTTTACAGTAGTACTATCAAAGATCTGTATTATCTTTTCACTTAGATCTTTCCAAATAGGCTTTAGTTTTCTTAATTCTATAGATTTATTTAGTCATAAGAACTTATTTTGAGTTTGCATCATTTAGTATTAGTTTACAATTTTCCGTATAACTAAAATTATACAAATGTCTTATAATCTATCAGTTATACTAGTGTGATCATAGTTACAAGTATTTTATCTTAACTGATTAACAAAAAGTTATTGCTGTAATATATAAATATTATATAAATGATTATTCAAATTTTTATTGTTAATAGATTTTGAACTTACTATCTATCCCTTGGAGGGTTGACAACTTATCTATTTTATTAAGTTGTTACATTCCTGAATTATGTATTTTAAAGTTATATATTTTTAAGTCATATATTTTTAAACCTACTATTTTCTTACTATAAGTTTTAATAGGAACTTTAATATAATATAAATATTAAGTTTCTAAAATTTAGGGGGTATGGCAACCTAGTGAAGTGGTTAGATTGTCAACCCCCAAGTGGCAGGTTCAGAGTTTAAATCCTAGTGTCAACAGAAAATTTGAAAATCCTCTCTGTGTTACAGTTAACTGTCTCTCACAATTGGTTAGAATAAGACATCTGTAATTTATGTCACACCAGCATAACTGGCAGGTCACATGGCATTTATGTAATAGTCACATGACATTGTTCTTTGGGACAAGGTTTGTGGTTACATGAAGGAATGCAAACTGGTACCAGACGGTGCAAATTTACAATAAGTCCTCATGGCCATGTAAATCATAGGAACCAATAGAAGAAAGATGGAAGCCCACTTGGAAGATCCAAGTAGAAAGATAATCTGAACTTTTGACAATGCTACTATAAAAACTAGACTTATAAAACAGAGCTAGAACTTGTGAAATCGGACAAATGTGCTAATCTTTGAGGAGAAACTAGATGAACCAACCAGGCTGTCAGAATTTCTGGGTTTCAGAGAAAAAGAGTACATGCCAGCAGACATGTAAACCAGAAGTACGGTCTCATTCTGCCTTTTCAGGCTATCTAAAATGGCAGCTTGGTAGAACTTGAATTGAATACCAAAGTAGTAAGGATATGTTGTGAAGTAAGTACTAGAGTTGGAGTGAACTCTACAAGGGCATAGCAGTTTAATGGCATACTCTGACTGCTAGTGTTGGTCTCAGCCATAGCAATACTAGGTCAGCTGTAAGAATGGGATACAGAAGATTCTGGAAGGTTTAGTACAAGGTCAAAGGTTCAAAGAAACTGCTTTAAAGACTTAGTGACCATGGCATATTTTCACCGGCATTGGCTGGGGTCGTTGGTAGGCAGAGGTAGATGGGTGGATATGAAAACAGAGTGGTTAAATAGGGAACCTACAAGTGGGTTCCAGGTATGGCAGCTAGTGTAGAACCTTTAGACAGACTACTTAAATTAGACAATGACTAAAGTTATATAAGTAGCTAGTTGTACATTCTCTTCATGGTTGCCCCTTATAGTTGTAAAGCAATCATTAGCCAAATATACTATCAATAAAATTCTAGATCACAAGTACTCACCTTAATATTTAAAAAAAAAAAAAAAGTTTCTAAAATTTATTCTTTTTATATTATAGTTAACTGTTTTTTGAAATTAGTTGTAATCAGATACTTGTTATCTGTATTATATTAGTATAACTGAAAGGTTATATAGCATTTG